GGCAGATTCTCCTCGGGCCCACAGGAGACTTTCCCTCCAGGAAGCTCTTTCATAGACACGAATCACCTCTAAAAGCCTTCCATTCCTAATTCCCATGAACCTACTATGAAACTGTTGCACAAAAATGGAAGACACATCACACCTAGGAGGATGGAAGACAACAAGTGTTGGTGAGGATATGGAGAAACCGGAAGCCTGGAGAACCGCTGGTGGGAACAGAAAATGCTGGAACGGCTGCAGGACAGTATGGAGGTTTCTCAACAGAACTGTCACATGATGCAGCCCCTCTGCTTCTAGATGCATCCCCCCAAAAAACTGAGAGCAAAACGTCTTTGAAGAGAGACATTTGTACTCCCCTGTTCAGGGCAGCATTAGTCCCGATAGCCAAGAGGTAGATAAAACCCAAGGGTCCATCCTAGAAGAATAAGTGAACGAAACGTGCCGCATGCCCAGAATGGAACATCGCAGGGTGTGAAAGGGAAGGGAATTCTGATAGGCGCTACCATGGGCGAGGACGTTGTGCTAAGTGAAACAAGCCAGCCACTGAAACATAAAAACGGTGCCACTCTACTTAGGGGAGCTACGGAACGTTGTTGGACTTTTGGGAACAGAGAGCGGGATGGTGGTTTTCAGGGCATGGATAGAATTCCAGTTTTCAAAGAATCAAAGAATTAGAGATGCATGGCAAGGCAGTGTGGACACACTTAATGCTACTGCACTGGATTTAAAAAGGTAACTTAAGTGTATTTACCTCCATTAAAACTTCAACACGCAACTACTGCCCTCAGGAGCAGAGGTGTAAATACCTGGCGATTCTCCCAGTTTGGGGGGGATCCAGGTATTCTGGGGGCACCTGGGAGCGCTGTCCCTGCCGCTCTCGCTGGCTTGGGGGTGGAGGCCATTCTCCATGCTTGTTAATGAAGCTGAAGCCGGGCCACTCCACCCCTGCGGTCCTTTGAAGTATGCTGTTGGCTTAGACAGAGAGCAGATGATCCAACTAAAATCACACAGTGTGGGGGGAAATCGCTTTCAAGTCTGCCACGTGCGTGTGTGTAGCAGCCTGGAACTGGAGTGTCGGCCATGTATACGGGGAGATGCTGCCAAGAAAGAGATGATTCCCTCCTAAGGAATCAGAAATAACAGACCATCATCGTCTCCTACCATCCTATCTCTTAAAAAATCCGGGAAAAATAATTTCACAAATTAATTCCCCTGGGGGAATCAAGGGAGCTGATGTTTTCTTTATATTTGGCCTAACTCACTCTAGCTCAAAGCATGGATTTTGTTGCGTCTTGGCTCACAGGGGGCACTCAGTCAATATTTCTTTAGTGAATGAATGAATGAAATATTGGGAGTGACTTAAGAGCCCACTTAGATGTTCATCTTTCTATTCAGCTCCTACAGCAAAAATTCCAGGCACTGCACACCGATGCTCCTGTCTGTTCTCAGAACTTGTCTCAGGTATGAAAATGCAGCGTGAATGCATTAGTCTGTTTGGTGTTACTATAACCAAATACCTAAGGAAGGCTAACTTCATAAGGAAAGAGGTTTGGTTTAGTTCAGAGTTCTGGTGGTTCAAGGCATGGTACCGGCATCAGATGGGTTGGAATATGAGAGAGAGGGATAGCACATCACCAACAGGAAGCCAGAGAATGGGTCAGGAGTTAGACTTACTCGTAACTTACTTTCTCAAGAGCTCAGGGGTCCCATGGCAATGACCTTAATACCTTCCAAGGTCAGTCCCTGCAATGACCTTAGGATCTCCCACTGGTCCCCACCTCTTAAACTTTCCTCACCTCCCACATGGCCATGCTAGAAACCAGGCTTCTGACACATGCACCTTAGAGGACAAACCACATTCCAACGATGGCAAAAGGATGTTCTAATAAAGTCTGTTAATCAGCAGGAAAGGACAGGACAGCAGCAGAGAACAGGACCTAAACGAGAGTGGTCTGAGGCAGGCCAGGGCCAGCCCGACACTATGCCCCTGGAAGGAAGAGTCTTTGAGAGACCAGGAGCAGACGGTCACGCCTGTCTTACTATTATTCTTTTATAAAATGTATGTTAAAAATGTAAACCCATTTTACCATCAACTTGAAAAATCAAATTTTCTACCTATTTTTCAGTCTTGTTGGGAAGCTGGGTACAATGTATGACACCAATCTCTCCTGGGTGAGCTGGAAGATGCTCTTATAGCCCCAAGCAGTGTCACTGTGCTAGTGAGAGAGATGAATGGGAAGGAGCATGGGCCTGGCCTCTGCAGGAGGCACCCCAGTCCTTCCAACGTGACCCAGAAAGGCAGGCACTGAGGGAAGAATGGGGCCTCCTCCACTCCCCTGCCCCCTGCTCCCAGGCCACCAGGGCAAGGCTGAGACAAGCCGGTGGCTGCACGGCCCAGGGAGGCGGAGGCCTTGGCAGGGGAGGGAGACACAGCAGGGCCAGGGGGTATGTACACTCCTTGATGCTGTTCCAATTTGGCCCCAGAAGCACCTGACTGACGGGTTCGGCACACACGGCGGATCCAACGGTGGCCACCCAGCATTGGGGCTCCAAAGCCAAACCCCGCCTGACTGGATGCAGCACCTACATCAGGAAGTCTAGTGGCTAGAGAGCTCCGGATTTGAGTTTTTACCCAGATTCCATATCCAGGCCTCCATGGAGAATAAAATAGCCCTGACTTCTCATAAACAAAACTTTGAGCTGTAAAAAAAAAATAATGTGAAAACATTTTTATCAAGAGTATTTTCTTAAAAAAGAATGTATTGTGAAAATGATTCACTCCCATTCCCAACAAGCAACACGACATTCAAAAATGATCGGAAATCTCATAAAAACAATTTGGAGGTGGATGTGGTCATAGCTCATTTAGCCTCGATTAGTCAACGGTCAACAAGCACCTCGACTCCCGCGGGTCTGTCATGGTCCAGGCCACCAGAAAAACCTGGAATCACCTCTGCCCAGCAACCACAGCCATGACACTGACACTGCGGTTCTCAGCCAGAGGTGCTTTGGCCTCCTTGGGGGCATCTGGATTTGGCAATGTCTGGAGACACTTTTGGAGATGAGGGGATGATGGCGGAAACCCTGTGGAAACCAGAAACACAGCTGCATACCCTACAATGCACACGAGAGGCCCCCAAACAAAGAATCCTCTGGTGCAAAATGTCTAGCCGGTAGCACTGAGTTTGAGAAGCGCTGCCTCTGAGGGGCCTCCTGTGTGCTGGGACTGTCCCCGGCATTTTATTCAGATATCAACTCACTGAACCCAACACCAGGAGACACAGGCTACTACCACCCATTTTGCAGATGATGCCACTGAGATTCAGAGAAATTAAGTCCCTCGCCAAGAGCACGCGATTAGTGAGTGTTGGAACCATGGCTGGAGGCCACGCTGTCACAGGATGTAACACAGCCTCTCAGCTCTTTGTCCTCCCTGCCCACATCCCTGCAGCCACAGATCCTTCGGGGCCACTCTCTTCAGGTCCTTTAGCTCTGTCTCCGTCACTGTGTCCCACCCAAGCCTGCGTCCTCTCTTCCTGGACCACGGCCATCCTCTCCCCACTTCTGGCCCACACTCCTCTAGCTCACCTCTCTCTCCCCCACTCCCACCAGAGAGACCTCAAAAAGCCCCACCTGATACATCTGTCCACTGCTTGAACACCTCTGGTCACCTACAAGGAAAAGCCCAGACCCTTCAGGCTGATGTCCCTCTCCAGGGCTCCTCGGGCCTCCCCAGCCCTTCCTGCTGCGTTCAACTTGCTGTGCTGCCCTCCCCTCTCTGCTGTCTTTGGTCTCCAACACTCACTCCGGAAGACACCTATGACCTTTCAAGAATCAGTCCCAAGGTCGCCTTCTCCAGGAAGCCTTCCTGGCATACCTGGGCCCTCCTGGGTAGAAATGACCACTCCCTTCTTTGTGCTTTTATTAACATGTGTTACACTTTCCCTTTGCTTTCAAGTCTGTCCCTCCAGGGCGGGGACCTTGTGTCATTTCACTTATCTCTGAAGGTGGCCAAGTAACCAGGGAGTCGCTCAGTAAGTCTTGAAAGAATGAAAGATAAAAATCCCATCCAGCTCAAAATTTTCCAGGACAGCAGAGTCACTATCTGCAAAGAAAAACTATGCCACTGGACACGGTCATTCTTAGGAGGCTGGTTTCTAGATCACCTTCATGCAGGAACTTCACCTTGGGGACCCCTTACCACCAGGACAGTTACCCTTCACCCTTGGTCTCCCCTTCCCCTGGCTGAGCCTCTCAAGCTTCATCTCCTCTTCTTAACAGCCACGGTTTTAAGTTCCCTTGTGACCCTACAGTGTGTGTTTAATTAACTGAGCAAATCAAAATAGCTATGGGCCTAAAGAGAACCTTTGCAGCATTTAGAAAGGATCTGCAAATTCTTGAGATGATGCTTAAAGTGGAGTTCAAATCACAAGTCCCAAATCTAAATGCCTAAGGGCCCAGGCAGGTCAGACCCCTGCGTGTAGGAGGCAGGAGGGGAGAAATAGAGAAAAGGGGCCCAGGATGGTCAGACCAGGCCCTGGCCACGCCCCACCTCCAGGATCATGGCCTATAGGAGTAAAGGGAGAGGATTACCAGATCTTTGAATGTTTCCATAAAAAGCTAGAAATGTGTATTTTTTTCCTACAAGTTTTTAGATACTGATAATCAATTTTTTTTTTTTTAATCCGCAAAAAGGTACTTTGCAAACCAACTCCATGTGGGAGCCAACTCCAGCCACGCAGGCTGTGCATTTGTGGCCTTGGCTTTAAAGAATTGCTCAGGCAATTCCTAAATTTAAGTTTTTGTGTGTGGAGTTGGAAACATGCACAGATATATTGAGAGTGGTGGACATACAAGGGCAGAATTTAAATTTGAAATTAAACTAGAACACGAGGGTTAAAAATAACATTGAGGCATAAATCACCAAAGAGGTTGAGAGAAACAGAAAAACAGGGAGCCTCTCTAGCCAGCAGCCCAAGCTCAGGCAAAAGCTCCATTACCGGCCAACAAATCCATCTCCAGCAAGGCCTGGAACAAGCTGGGGTGCTTGTCTTTCAGCCCCTTCTCCCAGGGGAAGGCTCTGCACGTCGAGGGCCTCCCGTACCTGCGCCTGAGGTCCAGGTAGGAGTTGTGGAGGTCACCTGCAACAGAAGCACAAGAGACCACACCCCTCAGAGAGGCCAAGCCTTGGCCCCTCTAAGACCCGGGAGCCAGGAATAAGAGGTCAGACCTAACATTCCCGGATGTTGGCTGGGTCCTTTAGGGATCTGAAATTGGACACGCTTCCTTTGCTTAGGGTCAATATTCAGAGCTGAGTCCAAGGGAAACGTGCCAGAGCCGCTGATGGCTGTTGAATAATTCTACGGAATGAGCAGCTGGCCTCTGGCTGGGCCCCCGGAGGCCAATATCTAGGCCATTTTTGTGGGCGTATGAGTTGGAGAGCAAAGCCCAAGGACACCCCCCCCCCGTCCCCCGGGAAGTGAGGCAGTTGAAGACGTTAAGAAAACGTCCCTAATGCCACCCAACAGACAGGCACGACAGTCTGGCTCTCCGACTCACAGTATCTCTCCTGATATCACGGAAGTTGCCCAGATCAGTTTCTCTCCTGTTTGCCACATTACCGTGCCCCTGGACCTCGCCTCTCTGCTGACCGCGTCACATTTTCCAGACAGCTGAGCGGTGAGCCCAGCTGTGGGCCCAGAAGAGCCTCTTCCTGAAGGGAGCTGCAGTTCTACCCTTGCACACTTACCTGTGGGTGTCCCTAAGCCTGTGTAAACTCAAGGGGACTAGGGGACTGGGCTGTGATGGACACATATGACCCTCCACCCCCAGGGCCTGGAATGGGATATTCTGCTCTAGGGATGGTGAGACACGGAGGCAGGACTGAAATACTCAATTCCTGTTTGCTGATGGCAGAGACCCACAGGAATTTCTCTTCCAGAAGGAACATATGTGACTAACTCTAGTGCCACCCTATCAAACAGGAAGATCTACAGCCCAGAGAGACGTGTCAGTGCCAAATCCAGGCTGGAACACTAGAGACAGGACTGGACCACGTTTGATCAGCATCCCGGATGAGTGGAGGGGGTCTGGGCACACATGACCACACACGAAAGCTGTCTATTTCAAATTCATTCCTTCTGTCGAAAATTTCCCATATTACCCGGAATTAGTGGTAAGGATTAAGAAAAAAAAAACAATAATAAAACAGAGCCCCAAATAACAAAGTCAATGTTCAAATATATGAAAGCTATTATTCAGATATTAATAGCCTAAGACAAAAGTGCACTGATGAGAAAACATTTCTAATGGTTAATTTATTTTCCAATTCGTTCTTATTTTTTTTCAGCCTGGCATCATGGATAAGGATGATGCCACACAAGGCTCAGAACACTCTCATTTGTATTCTTAAATAAGATGAGGTGTGGAGGCAGCTGTGAGCCATGTTTTGGTCTTTCTGGAATCCAGGTCGAATGCAGACTCTCACTCTCCTCCCTCTGTGGAGGCTCAAATGTGCACTTGTCCCCACTGGTATTGGAGCCAAGTCATATGCGCTGTATTTTAGCCCCGTCCGGGAGAAGCTCCCTGTGTTAATCCAAATGCACAAAGCTTCAGGCAGCCCTCCTGATCCTCAGTACTCACATGCCTCTTCTCTGTCACCCCCGGACTGTGCGGCAGATGTATACACAGATACGATTTCTTGAACCTCGGCACACCGTTCATAATATAACTTGATTTGTTCAGCAAGTTGCTTCTCGAGGAGGGGATTAAAGATCTAGGAGAAGGCAAGAAAACCAAATGAACAGCCATTGTCGTCAAATACTCATTGACCGAGGTCCGTGAGGGTGTGTTCAGGCTGACTTCATCTCCCATTGACGCCCCCAGCCGGCGTGCTTGTGCAGTGTCCTCCACTCTGGATTTGTAAACCAAGGTTCTTAGTATTAGTTCAAGGGCATGCCAGTTCTGGCTTCTTTGGGGCTCATGTTTCCCTCTGCAGAGCTTTTTAAATGTAAGGTTTCCTAGAGACCAGGCTCCGCCCCCTTCCCCCAACCCCTAGAACATCCCATTTCTCCCCACCTGCGATTCTCACCAAGGGCTGCGGGTTCTACCCATGCCGTGCCAGCTGCCTGGGACCCCCTCTCTCATCTCCTGCATGGCTCCAAGAGCTGGATGCAAGTCTGTGTCATGGGGACAGGCTTCCCTGGCAGCCCTCCCCACCACGGTCACTGGTGGGCAGAGGCACAGCCCCTGCCTCAGGGCGCCCAGAGCTGTGCTCACAATGAATGAAACCAGTCTTGAGTTCTTTTAGGACTTACCAATCGAAGCTCCAGAAAGGGAGCTTGTCAGGATCGGGCCACTTATCTGAGCTCAGTGTGTTTCAAACCGCAGGTTTGGACCCAGTCGAGGGTCATAAATCGATGTGAGTGCTTTGTAACCAGTCGTTGGATGGTGTTTTGTTTTTATAAAGTAAAATACAAAATATCAGAGTACACTGAACAGAGCAAGGGTAAGAACCCTTAGTAAAATTTTTGTCTCAGTTTTGTGCGTGAATATATATATATATATACGCTCTTATGGTACGTGGTATTAATGATACTAAATCGACTACCTTCAAAACCAATTAGAAGCTGCTCTCTGAATCCACCTTGCTTGCCGTCGTACTCAGCCCAGAGACTGTTACATCACAGGTAGGCAGTATTTATTGTACAGTGAATAAACAAATTTCCCTTCTTCATTTTCATAGAGATCTCTCAATAGCAGCTCCGTGACATACCCATGGGCGGTACGGCTTTCCATTTTCCTAATTAGGATTTTGTCTAGTGAGTCCTGCTTTCTCCAGAACAAACTCTCTGCAGGCAAGGGACGGAGAGAATGTTCCTCTTTCAGGTATCACGTGGGGCTCCTGATCTCTTCCACACTGCCAAGAAGCTAACTGTTATGAGGGCTCTGCACAGGAAGCCCTTGACCCTCAGCCCAGCTAGGGGTCTCCTTTGTGGTGGGTTTGGATGTGAGAGCCTGGTGCAGGAGACTTCACTGGGAACGCAAAGCCCTCTTCCCTCTGTACAACCAGAGCTAACAGCCCCTGGACCCCCCGCAAATCCACGCCTGTGCTTCTGCAGAGAGCAACTCGTGGTACCAGGATTTTAATTTGCTGGAGCCTCTCGTCTTCTGATACTTTAAATAATAGCGTGTAAGAGAAGCTTTACCAAATAACTAAGAATCTCTCCTTTCATTAGCTTAATCACTGGATAGGCAACAGCCTGATAAAAATTTACTCTATAATTAAGCTAGTAGTTATTAAAACAGAGGAAGTAAATGGTTTCCATTTTATGAGTGCTAAATGAACCAAACATTAACAGAAATCTATTATCGCATTGGCTGGGGGGGGGGAACCTAATATTAATTATGCTTGATGTCCAGCTGGGGTAAATCTTTTGTTTACACTGGGTCCTGCGTTCCTGAAGGCACACCTACTACCCAAGCCCACTGCAGACATCTAGGTGCTGGGCTCACCTGTGCTGGCTGCAGACTGTGGAGGCGATAGTACTTCAGGGGTCCAAAGAATCCTTCGATGCCAGCCACGTACCTGCTCCCTCCAATAATGAAGTACCCAGCTGTGTCATTGTAATGGAAATCCTCTCGGAAGCTGGAGAAGAACAGAAAGGACTGAGAGAGCCCTGGACAGGAACCAGGTTATTTAAAGAGACTTTCATTGACCCTCCTTAACTTAACCCCAATTGCCACAAGCCTGTCACTTCGGGTTTCAGCAGACAAGACCACCTGGGGTCAGGAAGGCTTGGGCTACATCCCAATTCTGCTACTTACCAGGTATGTGTCCAGTCACCTAACCTCTCTGAGACTGTTTTCTTTTATAAAATGATAGTGCCTGATCTATTGGATTGTCAGATTAGGTAAAGAGGTCAGTGTCTACCAGAGTGCCCCACCTGCGGTACAGTACATGACTGTTGGTATTGGCGATATGGTTTGCAATCGATGGAATTATTTGAAATTGTTGCTCTTAATTGGAAATATTTTGCTCTGCAAGGGGGGGAACTTGTGGAATAAATAGAAGTTGGTTGTGTGGGAAAGGTAAAGTGCAGACCACGGCAAGGTCAAAGGCTTGGCCAAGGACAAGAATTCAGCCCAAGTGATGTGTCACAGGTCCACCTTGCCCTGAAAGGTCTGAAGATCAGAGACACAATGAAGGAAGACATGGGTGGCCTGTATAAAGTGTGATGAATTCCTCGCAGCATTGCTTATATTGCTCATACTAGGCAACCCCAGGTGCCATCACTGGCCCATCCAACCAGGGAGCTTTATTTACACTGCAGCTTACAAAAGGTACAAAAGGACCCGAGAGATCGCCAAAATATATTGAGGGGAGAAAAAGTGCAGAACACTGTATGGTATGTACCTACAAAAGAGAGAAGATTTTTTTTTTTTTATTTGCATGAAATCTGTACTTGTAGACAAGAAACCATTAAAAGTCTATGAGGAGAGGGGGTGGGATGTATGGGAGCAAGACATTTAACCGTATTTTCATATACATGTTAAGGGTTTTTTTGTTTGTTTGTTTTAATGTCCTTAACCATGTGCATTTATTACCTATTTGAAAATTAAAGCAGGAATGATAGGCCAAGGTGTGACGGGAGCATATGTGAACCGTGGGGGTGGGGTGAGAGTCAAGAGAGGACAGGGCCAAGGAGCATAGAGGGCAGGTGGGGGCACCAGGGAGACAGCAGAATGCCAGGCAGACTGCCAGGAGCCAGGGAGCAGAGGACTGGGCCACAGCGCCAGCTACCCACAGAGGGATCAAGAAGCCGGCCACCCAGGGTCATTCCAGGACAGGAGATGGACTGCCTGCCTCTCAGCAAAGAAGCAACTCCTAGCAGGTGCATCTGGCTGGAGAGGAAGCAGGTTGGGGTGAAGCAACCAGCGAGCTCCCCAGACATCCACCCGACAACAGCAGGAGCGAGCGCTCGGAAATTAATTAGCTTTATGCAAACACAACCCAAATGGGAAAGAAGGCCTTTATCTCCTGTATTTGTCCTTTTGGAATCTCGGCCTTGAAGGACTGTGAGGAGATGAAGTTCTCTTCCCCCTTTTTCAGGAGAGAACACGAAGTTATCAACTCTGAGACTGGGAATTGACCCTGTTTTCCAAGACCTTGGTAAGATTTGAATATTTCAACAGTTCCCAGGAGACTACACCAGCACTCGACAGCTGGAAGCAATGTTTCTTGAAGTTTTCTAAGTGACCTCTACTTCACCAACTCACAAGCCTACCTGAGGTCCCCACTCCTGTCAAACCTACCAACTAAAGCCCACGACAGGCTGGATGCTCCCTTACTAGACGCCATTCTCCGGAGTTTTCAGGTTTTAAAAATGGGAACAGTAGTAATACCTACCTATATGGTTGTTGTGAGGGATAAATGAACTACAGGTTGCATGTCCCTTATCCAAAATGCTTGGGAATGAAAATGTTTCAGATTTCGGAGTTTTTTGGATTTTGGAATAATTACATAGACTTTACCAGTTAAGCATCTTTCACCTGAAAATCTAAAATCCAAAATGTTCTCACAGAGGAAATTTTTTTAGCATCTAAAATGTTCAAAAATCTGGTGTGATGCTTAAAAATTTTCAGATTTGAGGTCATTTTGGGTTTCTGACGTTCAGATTAGGAGGAATTTGCTCAACCTTGAATACAGGAACAAAACATTTAGAGCAGTGAACATAGCAGGCGCCACACTACCAGCTACAGTTATTACAGTTGACCTTGTCCTCTGCTGGATTTCTGCTCCTTTTGAGCTGCGTTCTGAGTATGAAATGTGGACTCTCAAGCCAGTCAATGGCGAATCTGTGATCCTAATCATTTACTGTTGACTTCAATCTGGTATCCAATAAAACAGGAGCAAAGAAGAAAGGGTGGTTCCTTTTATTAAAACTAAGTTGAATGTTTTGGTAGAGTCTGTAGATAGAGGTTATAGAAAGCTTGGGGAAAGAAGCGGAAGAGTTGGGAAGGGTTTGGGTCTAATTATTTCACCAGTATCTTTGTTTCTTTTCATTTGGAAGAAATAGATATTAGGCATTGTCTATGCCAAAAAGACATCACAATTTGCAGGTCAAAGGAAAGGCCCTATTTAGAAAAATAAGCAAAAGAATACACACTTATTTAGTACTCCCCCAGTATCTATGTGGGACACATTCAACGATTCCTAGTAAATGACTGAAACCTCGGATAGTACTGAAATGTATATATGCTGTGTTATTGCCCTCACATCCTATATACCTAGGATGAAGTTCCATTTATAAATTAGACACTACAAAAGATTAATAATAAATGATAAAATAAGTACAGTAACATATACTTTTGTAATAGAAGTCATGCGAATGTGGTCTCTCCCTCTCAAAATATCTTACTACTGTATTTATGGTACCTACCCTTCTTGTGATGATGTAAAATGATATGTAAAGGAAGCACTTTATGCTTTCTCTTTGGCATTTCTGAATTGCCAATATCACTACTGTTGTGCTCTAGGGCCATTATTAAGTAAAATAGGTGTTCCTTGAACACAAGCACTTCAATACCTTGATAGTCATCTAATATTTGGTTTTCAGATAAACTAACAGGTGTGTAGCATATACAATATGGAAACATGGACAAAGGGGTAATTTGTGTCCTGAGAGGGACAAAGCAGGGCAGTGTAGGAATTCATCATGCAACTCAGAATGGCATGCAACTTATAACTCATAAAATGTTTATTTCTGCATTTTCCACTTAATATTTTAACTGACTTCAGTTGATTATGGGTAAATGAAACATGGGAAGCAAAATCTTGGATAAGGGAGGCCACCACATTTTTTTTTTAGACTAACATGTTTATGGTAACAATCCTTTTATGGATCTTTGCTTTAACTGAGTTTTTCAACTAATAAAGAATTACTTGGTCACTGTGGCACTGGACTGTAATTCTTAAATTGTCATTATTATCAACCATCAGGAGATCTGTCTGGCTTGGTCTCCATCTACATCCCTATATTGATGTTTCCACATCTTTCTCCTCTGAAATTCTCAGTGTCTGCACAAAGATTGCAAGAGATTTCTTGTACTGTGCATTGTTTGATGGTCATCAATTTCACTGACATAATAGCTGAGCTAGACTGTTCCAAAGCCCAAACCAGTCTCTTTCGAAAACCTCAGACATTATGGCAAACTATCTTTACTCTTATCTGGACACTGAGTGCCCTAGTTTATTACTGCGGAGGACCAGTGGCCCGAAAGAATTGCTGATATTGTTAGATGGGCCTCACCCAGAGGCAGGAAAGAGATGGGCTAGAGGGTTCTTGGGTGGGGGAACTTGGAGCATTGAAGTAGCTGCCCTCTCACCCCTGAGAGTAATTCTCATCTGAAGTATCACTTCCCAAGTACCCTGTCTAAATTCTGACCCCCTCGTTATCCTCTCAGCTAGCCCTATTTGTTTCCCTCCTAGCATCCACTACAACTTGTACTTTTAAATTAATTTGTAAACTTATTTATTCAATCTCGCTCTCCCCTGCTAGATTTCCTTTAGCTCTCTGAAGGCAGGGACTCGAGCACTGTGTCTGGCACATGATATATGCTCAGTAAATCTGTGTTGAATGAAGGAAACACTTCAGAGGCCTGAGGCCATTGCCTGTCACCCGGGGTCACTGATGGCCCTCATCTGTGCACAACAGTGTACTCCTGAGCGCTTCATCCATAGTCTTCCTACACCACCTTCATGGGACAGTAGCCAGTATTGTTTACATCACAAGGATGAACGGGAGGGCTAAAGGTCTTCCTCAGAGCACCTGTGGGCAGGGAGCTGAGCTATCTCATCTTCTGTCCATGCCCTGGCCAACCCTGAAAGCAGGTTTTCCCGCAAGGACAAGATCCCCAATGTATAACCAGAGGAACCCCAGGAGAGACATGCATGTCCAGGGGGCCTGCTCCCTCCAGCTGCTTTGGACACCCGGGGGCACAATCAGGGCTGAGGAGGTAGAGGTGTAGCCTGCTCAGGTCTGGACACTGCTATTATTACGACGTCAGGATTAGTTTGATGCTTTAACTGGGATGTTGCCCTGTCGTGCACTGAAAACCAGTCCTGATCCCTGAAATCCTTCATGATCAGATTGGCCCTTTACTTAAAATTTTAATATTTGGTTCATTATGGCTTCTTGGCTTTCATTCTGATTTTTTTTTTAAAATATTGTATTAAAGGGTTGTTTTGCCATGTTAACTGTCGAGTCACGTTGTGACCCTCCTCAAAGTCTGAAGACCTGTACCTTACTTGGCAATAGGGTCATTGCAGATGCAACCAGTTCAAATGAGGTCATGCTGGACGCAGGTGGCCCCTTATCCTTGCGACTGGTATCTATTGAAGGGGGACATTTGGACATAGACATGCACGTGGGGAGAGCGCCATGTGAAGGCTGGCGTTATACTGCTGCAAACCGAGGAGTTACCAGAAGCTGGGAGAACCGTCTAGAGCATATTGCTCCCTCGCACCTTTGGCGGGGACGTGGCCTCACTGAGCCTGTGATTGGACCTCCAGCCTCTGCAGCTGAGAAGACAAAGCTCTGCTGTTAAACCCACTCCCTCTGGCTCGGACGGCCTTGGTGCTGAGCGCTTAGGGACTCTATGCTCCAGGCTCATCCCTCACCGGCCTCACCCTGGCCCAGCCCAGATCTGTCTATGATTCACCCACGTTCACCTCCACATTTCTGGGATTTGGGAGGAAAGAAGGTCTTCCATGGAAAATGAAAAGGAACCTGTGAAATTCAAATGGTTTCCTACAGCTGGAGTGGGTGATGGGGGGAAAGAGGCTGTTATTTTAGATTTCACACCCTGAAACAGAACCCCTGAACTTCTAGTATCTTCTTCACAGAGCATTGCACTAGGAGAGATTCCCAAAGGAGCTACAGAACCTCCGTTTCTCCAGAGAGAACCCTCCTGTCCTGTCTATTCTTACACTCACCATAGAAGCCCACCGCCATTTAGAGTAACAAGAAACCTGCCGTCTGTGGACTGTCTCCTGTGACACAAACCCACCGTGGTGTGCCTAAGGCTTCCGCCGTTCTTCACCTCTCTGTCTATGCTTCCCTGCAACTATCAAAACCCTCTCAGACCCTCTGTTTGCAGGCAAAAGTATAACTCTCCTTTAGCCTTTGTATAAAACTCTAATCCTTTAATCCAGCATGAAAATAAGAATTGTCCTAGGAGCCCAGAGTCTAAAGGAACATGTTTGACTTAAATCTAAACAGGAATGGTTTGAAAAACAGTGTACCCTCTCTACCTCTCTCTGCTTTCCCTTCTTTAATCATCAGTTTCCAAGAGAATTCGGGCTGTGTGGGGCTGGGGACCAGGAGCCTGTCTGGAGAGGTATCCTCCGCAGGTTACAGAGAGACAACCAAGCACTAGAGCCGTACAGCATTTCCCCACCCCCACAGGTACCCGGCTGTCCTGACATATTTCAAAATTATATATTACAAAACTGGTAATTTTTATCTCTGATCTTTACGCTTATTCTTAAACATTGAATTATACATATATTCTGTAGCTTTGATGGGGGTATCCCAAATTCCTACTGAGGTTCGCCTTGCTCTGACACTATAAAACCTACTATTATATGCAGATCGAGAGGCAAATTAAAAAATCATGAAACACAAAGCAAAGGACTGAGCTCTCCGTTTCTGTAACTTTTGCAGAGAATGGTTACATAAGGATGAAAAGTTACACCAATATCAATAGTTGCATACATTTCAAATCTAGATTATGAACATAAATATAAAGACTGCCTGCTTTTATGTTTTGCACTAAGCCAACCTCACCAGCCATGCTCAATAAGTAACAATAATACTTTGATTTATTATTTTTTTTCAGAATCCTTCGTAGGAGATAATTTTCAAAGAAAATGAATTATGAAGTGCCGTGAAAGGAAGAATTTACAATGAGATCTGGAAGAAGGACTAGTTTCTCTTGCTTAGAAAAAAAAATAAAACGTTGCAGGAAAATGAGGAGAGTTTGTGCCTGAGAAAAGAATAAAGAAGTACAAAGGCTAGCTACAAGGCAGAGGGGTCCATGCTTGGAAAGCTGAATAGGGAGGGGACGTGGGAACAGCACTAGGGTCGAGGCCTGAGGTATCAAGATTCCTTAAACCTCATGCAGCCAGAGTTTGAATAAAGGGAAAAGTTGCACTTACCTAATTGTCTGATTATGGTAACCTGTCAACTCTGGTCCAATGCTGGTGGTTACTACTATCTATGTTGGGAGAGAGAGAGAGAGAGAGAGAGAGAGAAGAGTCAGTCATGCCTCAACACCCCACAGTACAAACACACTCCCTGGCAAAATTCCTCATAGAATGTGCTGGACAGTCTTTGACCTGATCGATTTCTGCAAAAATAAACAGTTTACTAGTCCTGTGCATGTTTTACGACTTGGTAAATTCAGCTTCCCCAAATGACTTGATGTGGTTAAATATATCTACAATGCAGTTTCTGCCACTGGATCATTCAGATGCTTCCAGACTCCAAGACAAAGGTTCATTTAATGTGTTTGCGTATACAAGCTTGTCGCATAAAAAGACAAATGTGTTTGGCAAAAGAAGGAGTTTGGAGAATTTCACTCTGACTCTGTGAGAGCCTTAGGGGAAAAGCAAGGTGGGTGCCATGTTCCTCATACCCAGCTCTTCCTCCTCCCTTTCCCTGGGCACCAGGGATCGGTGGGGACAGGGCTTTGTCTACCTGGTTCTTCTTGTGTGCTGGACTATACAGGGAGCCACTGGACCTAGGGACCACTTTGACTCCCTTAATGTCCCACAGAAAGCCTTTAGCAGATTCGTGGTGGCCTCTCTGGGTCCCCAAGACGTGGACACCACACCGTGTCTACTGAAGACAAACTCGGTGAAAACCAACTCGGCCCAACGTGGGTTCAGAAAGAAAACGACTCAAACCAGTCATCTCCCTGAACCAACCATTTCCTGGAGTGACCGTGACGGTCCCAACCCAGAGGGGGACTCTGTGTGGGCATCATTAAGCATCGCATTAGGTCCTGTGTGTATCAGGGAGGCAGATGAGAAAGGAAGACAGAAAAATGGGCAAAAGTCTACAAACGCGGAAAACAACTTTTTTTGTTTGTTTTTTCTTTTTCTTTTCACCTTTCTGGTCCTCCTAAGTCTTCTCTCCTGCTTTAGCCCCTCATGCCTTGTGCCATTAAATTTGTGTCTTTAAATAAAGGACGGCTTTTATTCTTATTTGTTTGAAAACCTTCCACGGGGGGGCCCCCTGCCCCATTGCCAGTTAAAGTCCAAATTCTCTGATATTCAAGATTCTGTACGTTTAAACCCCAAAGACTTTCCCCCTCCTTCTATTAGTTTTCTATAATCTGCAAATTTCTACTCCAGTTGCGATGGTTTGAATGTGCTCCTCAAACGTTCACGTGTCCAAATTCCTATGTCGATGGTATTTGGAGGTGAGGACTTAGGGAGGTGATTAGCATGAGGAGTTGTGAGGGGGGTCGCGCATGATGGAATTAGTGGTCCTAAAAGAAGGGGACCAGAGACCCAAGCTTGTTTGCTCTTGCTCTCTGGCCGTGAGATGTCCTCGCTGTGTGATTCCACAGCAAAAAGCCCTCACCAGATGCCAACAACTTGATATTGGACTTGGCAGCCTCCAGAACCGTGAGAAATAAGCCTCTTTTCTTTAGAGATGACCCCAGCTCAGGTAATCTGTTGTAGCTACACAAAACAGACTAAGACCCCAAACAGGTTTATCTCTTAGCTCCAACGATATGCTCCAACGTCCCCTCCTCTCTTTTCTGTCTACATTCTGCCCATACAGAGAAACTTTTTTCAGGAAGCCTGCCTTGAGCATCCCAGTATGAAACACTGTCTCCCTTCTGGAAATCAATCTGAGTCATTTGGCAATTAAGCTTGCCTTCTGACTTCTCCTCACGTGCTTCATGTTACTTCCATAAATAGTCTATAAGCAACTGGAGCCTGGTGCCTTACATACAGCAGGTGCAAAATAAGATCTATGTATTTGCTCTGACGTGTGGTGCCTGTCTCAGTGACACCTGGCACGGAGCTGACCTTTTCCTCGGCAGAAAGCAGCAGCCACGCCACAATACCATTATAAGACTCCAGTGCAGGGAGCGGAGAAGCGGGCCACAGCTATGTCACCTCACATTTCTAAGGAAACAAACAAATAGACAAAAGCTGCCCGCTAATGTTCTACAGAGTCTTCTCAGGGAGGCAGCAAGAACTGACCTGATTTATTTTCTTTTCAGAAAAAAGGAAATGTGATAAACCTAAACACCAAGGGAAGACGGTGTATTGTCTAATGCAGGAGACAACAGAACGCCTTTGTTACAGGAAAATCACAAATCAATAAGAAAAGCTGATGAGAAAATCAAGTAACCAGAAAAAGGTAACACCCGGCATCTTGTGTATGGAGCAGTGGAATTGTCTTCAATTATAACAGATTTGCCATAATCCATAAAAGCTGTATTATGAAAGGGTGGAATGGTTATGTGCAATGTTTTATGTGCAGAGTACATAAAGACCCTCCATCCCACCAGAATTATCACTTATGTTTGTTGGTTATTATGAGTGTGTTTAATGCCAAACATAAGCAATTGTTTCAACTGCCAAGAACAGTCAAACCAGATCTTAGCTGAACCAGCCAATAAATTTCCTTTTTCGAAAAAAAAAAAAAAAAGTTGTAGATCCGATAACTCAGCCTGAACATGGCCGATGCTGTTTTAACATTTATCTCCACAAAGCCCATCTCCCTGGGGGAAAAGGACGGAATTGCTCAGATAATTGTGGCTGTAGAGCTGGCTATATTATTTACTCATTCACAATATAGTCGAAAGAAAGCACTTTAAAAGTTAATTAAATGGGATGAGATTCTTATGATTTAAACTTGCATCTATAAAAGTTTGATTTAGCAAGTGCATAGTTGCAAAGAGTCTATCATTTCGTACAAATTTGCTTACAGATTTTGTTGCTGTCTGGCATTATACTAACGCTTGACTTGGAGTGAAAATGCTGATGGGATTCACGGTGGAGCCTCTTCCCTCATACCTGGCCTCCATTAAAAGAGATATCCAGTCGAAACCACTCCCTCAGAGGTAGGGTGAATTTAGTTTTTACAGCAAGGTCTTCTCCTTTGACAAGATGCATTTGAATATGCAAATGACCTAAGAGGAAAAATCAAAACTCATGAAAATGATCCAAAAAAACACCTAGGAGTGAATGACAAAGATGTACCTTTTTCAACAACATTCCTAAGAAGCTAAAACTAAATCCCCCTCCTTTTTTTTCTTTAAACAAAAATGAAGCAAAACCAAAACGCTTTTTTTTTTTTTTAAATAAACGAGACATTTGCTTTAAGCTTCTAGGAAAAAGAAGTTTAAAGTTCGCATTTGGTTCCCTGTGGCCTTTCTTTTATAAACAGTGCCCGGTATCTGTTTCTTCCAAATGAAAATAAAATAAGACACTTGTAAAAACTATCTGAGCCCAACACCCATCCAGATTTCAATCTATTTTCTCAACTGTTTCTAGCTATCTTATTTCCCCCACCCATTTTTAGTAACTCCTCTTTACCGAGTCTACCCCCAAATAATCAACTCGTTTTTGTAGAAAGAACAGAATTACGTATTTAAGTAAATGGCATCCCGACAAGGCCCATACAATTGCTATCGCCTGGTCGGGGAACAAGCACATCTCACACTTGTGGAGCAACCACTTGGACAATATCATCCTCATTCTAGACAGATGTATCTGCCAGTAGACAGAACGTCAGAAAATGACGATATCACTTTAAAGGTTCTGCTTTATACTTACCGTCTTCAGTAAGAAACACAGAAGGTGTGCCGTACATCTCATTAGAATCAACAAAATACAGAATCCCACAGAGATTGGCCTTGCAGTAATGGAGTAAATAAAGCCACATTGAAACAGTAAACCTAAAGGAGTGAGGAGAGAAAAAAAATTGTGCAGATTGATATCATCCAAGAACAGGTAATTATAGTTAACAATGACCAAGTAAATTGCTTTCTTTCCAACGAAGGGATGGATTTGCTTTAGTGTTCATCATGGGAGATCAGCTCGCAAAGCCTGAGTTTTGAGACAAAGGAGGTAGTTATAGTAACTGCGGAGTCGGGAGTTAAGCCTCATTGTACAAAACCACAGACAGTCCTCCTTGCACCAAAACCAGCCTCGCTGCCTCTTAGAGGAGAATCTGACATGCCTGCCACTTGAATTCCTGATGACGGCTTATAAAGTCAGATGTGGGACAAAAATATGGATTTTAATAACAGGTGATTTGATAAGAAGCTATTCTAATACCTATGATTAAAAGAAAAAAAAAACATAATTAGGGCTTTTTGAGCAATTTTGCTTCTTTCAAAGATAAAAGCCCCAAGGTAGAAAAACATACTAATCTGTAAATGGCATCACCACAGGGTAACTGGGACACATACAGACTACCTTAATGACCACATTAGGCTGCTCCGAGACCCGGTTCTGGCTGACCAATATGAAACAACTAATCTAATTATTCTATTTCTGGACTGAGGCTACTTAGGTGAGAAAATATTGTACAAATTTTGTGCATCTGTGATTTGTGGAGTGAGGATGATATAACAGTAGCCAACTTAACTAGGGCACATTCAGCTAAATGTGTGATCCGTCAATCATTCAGAAAAAATTCGCTGGACACCTGTCTATGCCATGCATTGCACTGGAGGCCAGTAGTTTCAAGCGAAGGAGCTGGGAATAACCACATTTCACCCGGGAAACCGACTCAAGGTCACACAAATACATCGGGTTCTCTCCACTTACCCCCCTAACCAATTCACAGTGTGGGTTAGAGTGGCAGCAGCCTCAGGTTCTTATCCATATCCAAAGAAGTCCTTTAGAATATTCTGGGCTTTATAATCTGGCCTTAAAACCAGTGGCATGATATGCAAACAGATGGTGTCACGAAGCTCCCTCCTGACCCACCCAGCTAGCAAGCTCATGAAGACAAGTTATTACAAGGAAGCTTAGCAAGAGCACATGCTTGGTAAAGCGACTCAAGATCTCTCTACAGCCAGCAGCACGGGAAGAATTAAATCACTCTGCTAAATCCATCTGATCTGGGGAGAACCAGGAACCGTTTTCAGCATCTCCAATTCAGCAAAAGGAAAAAATACATATGTGTGGATTTTGCTGAAATCGATGGAGGATACGGAAACTGGGAGACTGCAAGCAGCTCTCCCAACCCTCCAAGAAAGAATAGGCCAAGCCCGGCTGCATCTGCGTGGCCTTGGATGGCTGCAGCTGAAACCTCCCAAGGCCTTGGGTCCAACACTTTCAGCTTACTCCCGCCATTCCTGGATCTGTATATAAACACCAAGAGCCTGTTTTCAGGTCCACAAACTTGTCTAAACCCTGTAGATCCCAACATCTGTGAATCTAAGGAGCCCTTCCCAGAGCCTGCCCTGCTCTGCAGATAAAAACCCATCACCAGGCCAGCCCCTGGGCCGCCCTCCCTTACACGGGGTAGTCCATCCGCTGGTGTCGGGCGGCCTCCAGCTCTCGGTTCTGGAACCTCGGGAGCTTCTTCACGATGCCCGTGTTTTCTCCACTGGAGGCATAGAGATAGCCAAGGAGGGCCACCACATCTGCAAACAGCAAAACAGTCGTTTCCGATTATCTCCGGCAAAGCCATCCGACCCAAGCCACCCTCCTCCTGGCGCCCTCCGCCCGGCTCCAACCAACATTTAAATGCGATTCCTGCAACTATGAGCAAATGCCTATGATCACTGGATACCTGCCCGGCACCGTGCTGGGCACCTGACTGAGACTGTCTCCCTCAGTCTTCAATCACAACCCTGCCGAGCTGGTTCCATCAATGTCCACTCTGCAGATGGGACGCCCAAGGCTAAGTTTGCAAAGTTCAGAAGTGGTAGAGCCAAATGGCAGGTTCCGAACTCAGGACTCTATGCTCTTAACCCTTTTACACACTGCCCTCTTCATGCCGGGGAAAGCATTTTGAAATCGTTTTTGTGTTACAATGAGAAAGATTCCATAGTGCTCACGATGGTGCAGACACTGAAGCAGGCTTTCATGCACTAAATCCTCATTCTTATGCCCAGTCTACGGATGGGCAAATGGAGGCACAGTCAGTTGCCATATGGCAACTGTTAGAGAAGGTCATGCAATGCACTGAGCATGGTGTGGGATGATCTCACTGAGTCTCACAACTAACTATGAGGTGGGTCCTTTTACTGTCCCCATTCAACAAACCACCGACTGAGCCCTAGAAAAGGTTAAAGAATAAGAGGTGAAGTTGGGATTCCACTCAAGCAATTTGGTTTCAGAATTCCTGTTCTTTAAACTGCACTTTTTTTGTTGTTGCTTTGTTTATTTTGTCTTTGGCTTTCCGCATACACGCAACACATTACCCTACACAAAAATCACCAACCACTCCCCGTAAAACTGGGTGTGAAAAAAAAAATTTATTTCACAAACGTGGGAGACTTCTTCTCTGTAGTTCTAGAAAATAGGGATGTCCATAACACATCTTGAAGGGGAAAATGAGTTTCAGTTCTATATTTAATATCTACTGCTTTAAAGAGGCTAAGTATAAATTTCCTGTTTTCCATACATCCCCCACCAAAGAAAAGAGAATTCCCTTAACTCAACCTAGGAAGAAGGATGCTTTTCTCTTTCTAAAACGCTCCTTAGTTGAAACACCCCTGATTAGATGATGGACACAATCTATGCTCCTGGGTTTCATGGGGAGAGAAGAGAATAGCTTCTTTGAGAATCATCAAATATCAACATTGCCACAAATTTTGGAGGCCTCAGTCTGGAGTGCTGGACCTTCAAGCACTCCTCTTTGCCCAAAAGGAAATACAGAATTCCACTAAGTAGAGAGGTACTTTGGGTTTAATATAATTTGGAAATCTTAAGAGCAGCATTTGGACTCTCCGCCCCTTGTGTACAAATGTAATACGATGAAATGAGCCAATTTCCCCCAAATGTCCATAAATCTACCTAGAGACACATTTGGAAACCCAAAATGATGGACCTAGTTCCAACAGAAACAGTGAAGCCTTTTAATTTTCTTGTTTTAAACCTGAGCTCAATTCGGTAACATTGAACTGGCTGCTCTGTTATGAGGGATTAGAAATGGAAATATTGCAAAGATGTCTTTGAAATCTGAGGGAAAAAAAATTCACCAAAGAGGTCGACAGGAGCTCAGCCTTGGTTTGTTCTCCACTCTTTCAAGTGGAGCAGAAGAGAAGGCTTCTGCCGGTGACTGCTGTTCTCTAGTACCTTGTAGGAACATTTATCCAAGCAAGTGAGGCTCAATTCTTCCAAGACTCACACTAGTAAAAATAAACTTGGTGGAGCAGGTTTCCAAAGTGTAAGGAGTTAGAAGCAAATACTGGCGAGCCCTTCCCTCATCCACGGATCCCAGCCTGAGGGGTCCTTTAACGCACTCGAGACAAAGGACAAAATTATAGAAGGGAACATCTCAGAGACCTGAGATAATTTTATAAAAACACATGCTGCTTGTACCCAGCAAAACCAAAGTAAAGGTCATTTTCTTGTAAAGTCTGTACCTTCAATGGTTCTGCAACGGGAGCTCTGCTCTAGTTCTCCCTCAGTTTAATACTGTCTTCCACTATGATCAGAAGCAAGGAACCAGGATGAATTGGGGAGCAGGAAGGACTTCAGAATTCCTTTGGCCCAGGAAAACATATAGACTTATTGTCTAATCACTGACTGCAGCTGCTGGGAGGGCCAAACAGATGCTCTTTAACTTAGGATGTCAGTAAATATCAACGGCAAAAAATGCAGTTCCTACACCTACCCTACCCTAAGTAGGTTAGCCTGGACTAAGTAAGGCTCAGAACACTTATATTAGCCTACAGTAGGGCAAAATTATCTAACACAAAGCCCATTTTGTAATAAAGTGTTGAATATCTCATGTGACTTACTGAATACTGTATAGAATGGTTGTGAGGGTATGCTTTTCCATTGTTGTAGAGTCAAAAGCTCCTAAATGGAACGATCATAAATCAGAGACTATCTGTGATTGATTAGCGATGTCTGCATGGCAGCAGAACAGGGAGTATCAGCACCAGTGCCATCACCATTAAAGAATGCATAGGTTGGAAAACTTAAAGAAAAAGATTTAATAGCTTGCTTTTTAAAAATTTTTTCCTTTAGTGTATTCTGTGAGAGCAGGGACCTTACTTTGTTCACTGTTTCATTCCCATAGTCCAGAACAGTGCTCAGCATTTGATAGGGACTCCATAAATATTTGGTGGATGGATGAATGAACCTAACCATGACCTGATCAGGATTCAAGCTGGTTTCCCTTTCCCTCAACACTTCCCATAATTCCATCGTATTCACCATGCTGCCTAAGGCACGTAACAGTCCCTCTCCTTTCAAATCCTTCTCCCAAATCCAGGTTTTTGACTTTTCTTGCATGAGGAGGTCAGTTAGGGGTAGGGGGAGTTGTTAAGACATAAATGTAAAAATAAAATGCCAGGAAAACAACGCGTTTTGAACTCTTCCCCATGACTGTTTTTGTCTTAGTTCCTCAGATTTTGGAGCAGGTGAAGACCCTGGGTGTTCTATGGTACAAAGCCCTTCATTTGGAGATGAGAACAGTGTCCGAGTCTTATTCTGCATTGGTAACAAGAGGCCTGGCTGGGGCTCACACCTGGTCTCCCCAAGACAGACCAGTGGTCTTTTTATTAACCACACTGCCAGAGAAGTTGCACCCCGAGAAGTGTGGCTGACGTCCAGCTCGCCTGGCCCTCCCCGTGTGCTGCCTGGCTGCACTGAGACATTTCCCTCTGCTTCAGTAAGCACTACTGTCCTCAGCTCCCAAGGACCCACCTTCAGGTGAGAGCCAGCTCAGTGGGCCCTCCAGTGCCCCTGCAGCAGCCCTGGGGCCAGCGCCAGGAGGCAGACTGGGCCCCTCTCCTTACTGGCTGGTAAATGCTTTGAATCCCACCGCTGGAGAGGGTGTGTCTGGGGGATCAGGCAGCCTACTCCCTGGTGCAGTGGGGGGAAGGTCCTGTTTCCATGGAGCGAAGCCCGTCCCAGGACATCTACACTGCAAGGGCCCCGCTGACTCCTCAGCCCGCAATCTGAGAAGTGAGACGAGCCCCTCTGCCAGCAATCACTGAGACTAAAAATGACTGTGAGGGGCCTGGGGGAAAAGACAGTATGATTTTTCAGCCAAGAAGTAAAGCCCGAGCACAGTAACTCAATAACACTTTCCAAACACAGGACACACACAGGCTGGGCCGGGCAGGTGTTTTGTTTTCCTTAAGGCCAAAGACTAAGGATAAAAAAGCTATATATATTTTTTTTAAACAGAAATGATTTAAGTCAGAACTTCACCCAAAGAGGATCCTGGGCCGTGAAGTGGTTACTTTGGAAGTCTGTGGAATATTCATTAGCAGGAGTCTTTGAAAATGAAATAAATTCCACTTCTAGTCATCTATCCCCAAACCTGCTTAGATCCATGCACAAAGATACAGGCACGAAGATGTGCTGTAAAAGCTTGGCTGTTGAAAGCAGAGGATTCAAAATGACCTGCAGGACCATCAACAGAAGGTGGGTAAGTAAATTGTGCATGCTGAGCATCTGCTGAAAAGCACGGGCCGTGCGACACGTGCAGAAAACCCTCTGAGTGCCCGGCACAGGTTCCGGATCCTCTCTTATGCATGAAGACAGGGGCTAAACTTACTGCTTCTATGTGCAGAGAATATTTCTGGAAGGAGACAAGAAGCTGTTGTACTGAGTTTGCTTCTGGGAAAAGCACCAGGAGACTGGGGGATGGGGGTGGAACATCCTCTTCCCTCTAAACCTTTAACACGATTTAAATTTTTTTACCTGGTAACATGTATTACTTTCGGGCTCAGAAAGAACAGGACAAAAGCCCTGAACGTTCGCTCCCGGGCAGGCAGAAGGCACCGACCGATTCTGGGGCCTCCCTACCCTAGGCTCAGCCCTTCCCTGGGCTCAGCCCTTCCCTGGGCTCAGCCCCGTCAGCTGCAGAGACAACGTCCAGTGGGTGAAGGAAGAGGATGATTCACATCGATAAAAATTCAACTTTAAAAAAAGTATTCCTGCTAATTTAGAACCTGGGTTAGGACGGTATTAGCATATTTCAGAGAGGCGGCATAGCAAAGTCGAAAGCATCAAGAAGTTTAGGCCCTAGTTAAATAAACTCCTTGAGTCCCATCTCCCCCTTCATAGACCAGAAGATGGACAGTAATACCGTCTTTCCCAGGGGACTAGGGTGAAAAGTCAGCGCAACAATGTGCACGGGAAGAGGGTTTTGAAAATTGTAAAGGGCAATGCAGATGCTAGGCAGTAATTAGTGTTATTACTGAAAAACTCAGAATACCATGATTAACTGGAAAAAAAAAAAGAACTAGGTCTGTGGTATTTCTTTTTTTTTTTTTAAAGTACCAAATATATAGCTTATAATTAGAAAAAGTATCATCACATCATTGGGTTGAACAGTCCTGCTGCACAAACTGTTTTTTTTTTCTTTTTAATTTTCTTCCCACATATGCAAGTCAAACCTGGCTCCAACATTTGATAGGACTTTCAATCATTTCATTGTCATGGAGTTTTGTTA